ACATCATCAAGTTAATGACCATATCAGCATTTTTAATAGTAAAAAATTAGCAGAGTTAATGATTGGATTAGAATTATCAAATCAAAATAATACAGAAACTAAATTTATATGAATTATAGTATAATGACTAAATTTCAAATTTTTACAAAGTGTAAGGACCTCTAATATAATTTGATCTTCAATTTTTTAAAAAAAAATTAATATGTTAGATTAAACCTGTAATTATAAAATATATTTTTATTATTTAGTTAAATATTTAGTTATAGTATATAATTTTATTATAAAAGTACTATAGATTTTTTTATTAAGTATGTAATTCTGAAATTCGTTATAATTATAAATAAATTAAAAATAATCATTAAAATAAATTATTACAAATATATTTATTTATAAAATGTATTTTTATTATTTGATTTACTTATATTAAAATAAAAATAATATTCAAAATATATAAAAAAAAATCCCGCAAAGAAGTGCCGGAAGGCATCCTAGTTACAATTAAAAGCACAAAGTATTATTTATAAGTAAATAAAAAAAATTAAGTACACAAATTTACTTAACTCAAACCTCAAAGGATAACCAAGAACAAGAAAAAATGAAAAACTTGGACTTAAGTGGGTTCTGCCGGGCTATATTTGGCTGGCAGCCTTCGATTTTGGATTGGTTGAAGCTTAAATCAAACGAATCAAACATATTTTTGTCAGGAACAGAAAGATAAGCAAAGAAGTTGCCAATTGCAGCACAAAAGGAAAAGAAAAGAAAAAATGGTTCAAAGCAATTTTCACATCGTCTTGGAAACTCCTCTTCTCAAAATCTCATTGCTCCATCTCCTCCTTTTCTCGTTCAACAATCCACAGAATTTCCAACCGTGTTAATGTAAAGTCGGTGGAACTTCCCCGCAGCAACAACAGACAGAAGTCCAAAGCAAGAAAGGGCAAGGAAGAGGCCAGTTTGCAATTGAGAATTTAACCCTCTTGCTCTTGAAGCAAGAACTAGCGGCCAAATTATTGATGGCCGAAGCTCACGGTTGTTCTGTCAAGCATTTCCTTGGCTTGCAAACAAGAAAGCTTCACTGCTCCAAAGATCACATTATCAATGCTACCGGTAGCCAAGGGTACTTATCAAATATCCAAGCGTGAAGAGTCAAGAAGAAGCTGGACGTTATAATCCAATGAAGGTTAGTTCAAGTTTTATCATTACTTTTGTCTCGAATGAGTTCATTGTTTAGTAACTTGAGACAAAACACCACGGCGGCATTTTTTTTATGCAACTAATTCCAAGGTATATAATATAAGTAATATGTTGTTCTGCCACTTCCTAAGAATCAAGTGGGCGAACAGCGATTATAGCAATCAGAAGAAGAAGATGTACCTGTAGCTGTTTGAGGAAACTTATTCTGGAAACTACATTGTGTATTTGATCCTATTGAATGGATCGCCATATTGACACTGCATTGACAACTGGATCCATCTTTGGCATATATGGCCCTGACGAGCAGTGCCTTATTGATATCGACGACACCTCTGCGGTAATGCTTTCATCTGCAATGTCTAATCTAAGCCAAGAACATAAATTATTTTCAAAAAGTCAGTCCCCTTACCATGCATAAATTACCTCCAGTTTTAACCTGCAGCTGCAAAAGAGATGCATCATACATTCATATTATTTAAAGAATCGACCGTTTTAATCATCTACCTAAATGTTTCAACCTTTTTTTCCATACAGCTTGATCAAGCAAGAGAAAAGTGCATCATCAACGTTGCCAGCCAGGGTGCAATTTATTGGTTGCTGGCTATTGTCTATATTCAAGCTCTGTAGTCTTCACCATCTCCATAGGCAAGGAGGTGTTTGCATTCACCCTAAATCCCACTTACGGTGAATTTGTGTTAACACTGAGAATATCAAAATACCAGAGTCTGGGTAAATTTTACTCTTTTAATGAAGGAAATTATGACATCTAGGATGACAAACTGAAGAAATATCTTGACCACCTTAGGCAACCAGGAGCCAATGGCAAACCCTATTCAGGTCGCTACATGTAATACCCTAGCCCAAATAATAATTGGGCTAGACTAATATTAAAGTTCATTAGTTTATTAAAATATTATTTAATAAAAGAAAAAAGACTTAAGTATTAGATGAAAGAAAATCTAACTATCGTGAAATAGAAAGGAAATAGAGTTCTTCTTCCTCATCTTCCTTAGGGTTAGAGAATATGAAAAATCAAGTTGGAGATTCATAAACAGAGGCTACAATCAAGTTAATATCTTAAAGGTGAGTACATGCCCTTTTTTATTTAAGAAGAAATATCAAGTTGATTACTATTATTTGGAGTTGAAGTTTTGAGAGAAAAATCAAGAAAAATCATGAAATCCTTCATTAATCTTGATGATCTATTTGGGTAAATTATTGGGCTTTGTTTTATTTCATGTTTTTAAGATTTATTTATGATTATTGAATGGAGTTTGAAGGTTGAAAGTAAGGATTTGAGTTTTTAAAGATTAAAGGAGAAATTCTATTTTTGGATGAAATGTTATGATTTGTAATAATGAATTAAAATAAAATTTTGTATTAATGGATAGATTATTTCTGTGATTATTATATATCATTGGAAAGCATGTTGAATCTAGTTTCTAATGAAACAAACGAAAGTCAAATCCAAGTTTTTTATGAAAAGTTGTCTAATTTTAACTTAAGGATATGTAGGCTGTAAGACAACAGCATCAGGGTTGAATTATGAAATTCTTCTTAATTTGTATAGAAGGATTTGCAGATTAAGCCATATATTTTTGGAAAGCTTATTGAGTCTACTTTTCAATAAAATAAGCGGAATTAAATTTGGAGTTTCCTGTGAATAAATATATTATTAGAAGGTATACAGTCTGTTTGGCAGCAGTATATGACATGGATTTCAAAAATTGTTATAACTAATCTACAAGGAATTACGAGGTGTGCCACATATGGTTAGAAAGCTTATCAAATCTAGTTTCTAACGCATTAAAGAGATCATAATTCTGATTTGGATATATTGAGATATGACTGTTTTAATGAAAAAGAGGTCAGGCTATCAGTATTAATTAGTTAAGTTAACTTTTTGTGTAACTTAGTTGATTTTTGTATAAATGGTCTCAAAAAGGGTTGATTAAATTCTGATCTGTTGAAATGATCTTGGATAGGCCATTAATTATTTTGGGGGAAAAATTAAGTGGTGAAATCGAATGGAGGTAAGTAGAATCTCACACACTTTGCTTGTTTTTGAAACTATGTATATATGTATGTTTCTAATTGAATGAATATTTTATTTCATTATTTTCAATGTATGAAAATAGGATCAAGCATATGATTATTTTGTGTTTCTTTATATAAATGATGGATCATGCTTATGAATGAAATGAGAAAATGGTTTATGTTTAAAGAATAATTTTATGATAGCTACGTTTTTATATCCTTAGGAAGTGGGATCATCGACACCAGAATTAGTTCTACGACCCTGACTAACGGATAATAGTAGTTAGCAAAGACATGATCATACGACCCTGGCTAACGGATAATAGTAGTTAGCGTAAACCCTGGCTAACGGGTTATAATAGTTAGCAATGATCATGAGAATGAAATTGTCAATACGACCAATGTCACGGGTTATAGCAATGACCGTAGCTAACGATAAATGAATGATAATGATGATTTTAATGATTGATCTATGATTTAGTTTGATTATGATATTTGAATTATAGCATATTTTACAATGATTTATGAAGTGACATATTTTGACATTGATTTATGAATTTATGAAACATTTGACAAAATGATGATCTTGAAATATTTTGATATTATTATTTGATAAATGTTTTGAATGATCTATATGATGTGTAAGAAAACGATGCTTGATATGATAAGGTATGTGAGTTTATACTTACTGAGCTGTGGTTTGCTCATTCCTTTTTACTTTTTCTTTACAAATGACTAAGTGATAAGTTTAGTTAGTCTTGTGTGAAGCTAGAAGATGAAACGTCGGAGAATATGTTGGCCAATGAGATTTTAAAAGGCAATTTTGTATTTTATATGGTTTGTATTTGGATATATAAAAATATATCATCAGTTAGATTAAATATATGAATTTTATTTGATAGATTATTTTATCGAAAGATTTTAGAATATTTAAGAAAGAAAGCTTCATATTATTTTGAGATTTTTTTCAAGGTAATATGACCGTATTATGTCTTGATCTCGGAGCATGACACTGCATAGGTTGCCTTGGTGAAATCCATCGAATGCTACTTCGTGGAGGTATTTATGGCAACCCTAAGAACAAGAACAGCAAAAATGGAAATCCAAGGCTACTCTATCAGTGCGCACCAATGAGCTCTTTGGTAGAACAAGCTGGTGGCATTGCAACAAATGGTGTCCAAAGAATTCTTGACATCAAACCCGAGAAGGTAATAGCTTAACCAAGATCTATATCAAATTTATGTTTCAAGTGCTTCAATTTAAACATGAATATGCCCTTGCTCTAAACAAGCGAACAAAAGACAATACAACTCAAACGGTGAACCTTTAATGGTTTTAGCATGTTATATTGGCAGGTACACCAGCGTACACCAATTTTCATTGGAAGCCCTGGTGAAGTTAAGAAATTACAGAAGTACCTGGCTTGAGCCCCAAAATATGAGTTTGCAAGCGATAAGATATTCAATTAAAGAATTACATGGTTACACAATCAAACTGCTAACAGCAGCCCTGATTACACAATCTACATGATTTATCAAAAAATACAGAATGTTGCCCAGACTTTAAACAAAAGTCACATGGGCATGTCAAATCAATGGCAGGTCATCTCAAGCATAACTTGATCCTTACAGAGAAATTAGTTTAGTGGCACGTTAAAACGCAAAAAGATTTTCGAAATTGTTGACCATAACAATAGTGTTGTTAAGCATTGCTTGCAGCGAGTGCTGTACCGGTGCATGTCAGCCAACTAGTCATCTTGATGGTAAAACCACTCAGTTCGTAGCAGAACTATTTTGTTGCTCCAAAGAACTCCTTCGACCTTTTGCTTCAAATTTAGGAAAAAGGAAACATGAGCAAAGCCAAAAAAATAAATTTCAAAATGAAGAAGACAGGAAGGATATAGTGTTTTACCAGGGCTTAATATTTTTATGCATTTTGTTATAGACTTCACTGAAGTCACGGTGTCGGATCCTGCAAGCATAGCACATGCAAAGTAAGAACACAAATATCAGTATGGATGCAATCAGATTAGACAGCAATGAGCTTTACCACCTTGTGCATTAATGTCTTTCTCTGAAAGCAGTTCTGTGACAGTAGATGAAAACTCTGACATGACTCGATTAGCCCCCAGATTGCCATCCCCTGATTCATGAGATGACCTTGCAGCATGCATGTATAAACATCAGAGAACAATAAATGTAATAAAAAAACAAGTGGAGAAATTATTGGTCAAAATATTCAATAAGATTGAAGTAGCAATACCCTGAAAGAGCATCTGCAGTACCCAATGTTGGTTGACAGGTGTAGCCAATTCCTTCACATCCAAGATCAAGATCCACTAACAGTTCAGAAAAGGAGAAATTTGCTCCAAAAGCATCTAAATTAGGCAAATCTAGGTCAAAGAGATCCGCATCCATTTCAGATTCAGATGTTGAAGTGTCATTTGTTATTGGTTTGTCAGCATTCACTGTTTCATCAGAACCATCAAAGTCCAGCCTGCTTTTTACATGATCCCTCTTGCCAAGCCTCTTTAAGCATGCCTTAACTGGTGAACAAGAAGAAATGCAATGGTTCCTCTCAATGGTGTAACATGTCATTTGCTTTAAAGGACTAACTGTAACCCTCTCAGTTGAAATTAGAGTACAGTTGGTAGGAGTGATCTCTTGAGGAGTACTATTATGACTGCAATTAGCAGTTGAAGAAACATCCAATGGAGTCTTTGATTTATCACTCTGAGGGGAAACTGCTTGTGGAGGTGTCTTAGGACCTGATGAATTGGTTGGAGGGGACAGCTGTGGCTGATTGAACAAACACTTGGCAACACCTGATACATGCATTGTTGATTCATTGGCTGTGCAATTGGGGGATGATGATTGATTTACAGAAATTAGCTGACCAGCTACTTGGCTATTCATTCCATTGTCAGATTCTGGAAGCTTTTCTGTTCCTGCAACCAATATGTCAGGGATGATGTGTCAAGGTATGAAATGATGTGCTAAGAATGAAGAAACTCTACCTTGGGATGTTAACATCCTAGAAGTCAATTTGCTACGAGTTTTCTTTGCAGCTGTTGGGGCTTCAGTGACAATCTCCGAACTCCTCTTATTTCTTGTTAATGGCTGACTTGTAACTGGCGAAGAGTAATTATCACGCTCCATTATGTAATTAGAAGGAACGGATAATGGAATAACAGTTGGTGTGCTATACACAGGAGGGCCTAAAGCAAGATTACCAAGCAAAATATAAAAATTGCTTAGCAAAGAGGACATAAGAAGTATGCATATCAACCTTAATCATGAATTAAAAAATCATATAAAAATAACTTTTGATTATATACCAGGGTTTAAAATTATGATCATGAACTAAATGTAAAATAGAAACACAATAAATTAGACATCTCCCAGAGTACTCTAAAGCCTAATGGCATCAATTTTTTAAAACAAATTTCTATTAACCCCCAAACAATCCATTTACCCAAGCTACAACCCATTCAAAATATACTACTATAAGCCTCATTCTACATACATCAAAATTGAACTATAATTTTGAGTTAAATCTATGTACATTTAGACAGATAACATTTCAATCCTTCCATTTTTTAACATGTTCAAATATCACCTAAAAAGCTAATGTAACAGTTAACAAAAATCTGAGACTAATTCCTAAAAGCAAGTAAATAACCACCCAGGAGCTCAAGATTTGTACCAGGAGGAGACCTAGAACAGGATCTGGCTGAGGAACCTGGCTACGACTAGTTGCATTAGCATGAGAGATCATAGGCACGGGTGCAATGGCCTTGTGTTTGTAAGCGGTTCATTACACGTTTGCATTCCCTGCAAAGAGACTGAACCCTCATTTTTCCTTGCTCCAAACGAGCCTTTTCCTGCTCTACTATCACCTTTGCTTCTTTTCAAACAAACGTATCTCGTCTAACATCGCCCCCAAACTTAACAAACTCTTCGGCGCCTATCCAAAAAATAATAACAGTAATTTTATAAAAAAAAAAAAAAAGAAAAACATAATCATGTGAAATATAAGGAATTGGGTTTCTATCTACCTCTCGAACGGGAGATTTAGAGATTGAAGAAGAAGCTTCGGTTCTGAAAATGGAACGAGTTTCGGAGTAGTTGTTATCGAAAAGGTAACGGTCGACGATGAATGCGACTTGGACCGGAGTGACTTTACCTTTGCCTAGATTCTCCGGTTTCTTAGATCTGCTTTGCTTTCCCATTTTTTTCTTTAGAAATGAAAAGCAAGAGAGAAGAAGAAGAAGAAGAAGAAGAAGAAATGGCGGGGGAATTCCAGATTGGGTTAAAGATAGATTTGGGTTAAGAGAGGAAAAGTGGGAGATGGCGCCATGGTTGAGGGAGGGTCTTCTTTTAGGGGAAATTAAAACGCGGGAGAGTTTGAAATTTTTTGGAGGAAAATGGGACTATGGAGGGAGGTCTTTCCTTTTTTCTTTTTTTTATAACTTTGCGCGGTTACTTTGGTTGACGAATTTTAGTAGAATAACAAATCTTGTTTTTTACGTGACACCTAATATCATATTTAATACTCATTAGAATAAATATCATCTTTTACCCTTAAACTTTGAATCAAATTTTATTTTTATTTTTAAACTTTAAAAAGTTTTAATTAAATCTTCAATCATCTAAATGTGTACTAATATAATCTTTTTGTTCATTAAATCATTTAAATTAACAAAAATTTTCACTTAACATGGCATGTAACCTTTAAAATTTTCAATACGTGAAATTTTAAAGTTATGTAATAAAAATCATGAAATTAAAAGCATAAAATATACTAAATCAAAACATAACACAATTAAAAATAAAATATTAAATTAATTCAACAAAAATTTGCTTCTCACTAATCAATTGAATACATGTAAACTAACTAAACACATGTGTTAATTTATGAAATAAATTAGCAAAAATTTGTATTAAAAACATTGCTCGTGTATACATTTACTAATAAAAATAATATAAATCAAGATAACCTCAAATTCTTCACAATTCATTTTTTTAATAAAAAAAATAATAAATTGTCTAGATTTTCTATAATCATATATAGCAAAAGGGCAAGCCATTCTATTTTTATAGTAATAAGAAGAGCCCATAAAATTTCGACACAAGACGCCACAAAATAAGAACTAAAAAGCTACATTTACCATCTTAAATGTCAACCAATGCCATTAAATCATAACCCAAATCTAAAATAAATGAAAATGATTTCATCAATTTTTTTTCTCTAAATTTCCTCTTGCTTTATTTTTCTTAATTTTAGAGGCAACAAATAAAAAGATGAAGGAGAGATGTTGCCAGAATCTTGATTGAATAAAGGTTGGATTAGCCTTAACAATGTCGAATCTAATCTCTTGCATTTCATAAGGTGAAGGTAGAGCTGCTATTGAACTCCAACTTTTAGTGAAGGTAATGGGAAAGCCATATGCTATCATTCCAAGTGGTTGGCTACCTATTGGTTGTTGGAGGAAAAAAGGACCAAGAATAAGGAAAAGAAAAGAGATTAGGAAAATAAAATAAAGTTATGACAAAGTATTCATTTAGGGTTTTTTTTTATTTCATATTTTTTTAATTACATATATTTAAAGTCAGCTTTAAAATTCCATGTATTTAAAAATTTAAAGGTTACTTTTAATGCCACATGAGATTTTCTGTTAATTTAGACAGTCCAATAAATAAAAAGACTACGTTGGTACAAGTTTGGGCAATTAAGAACTCGATTAGAATTTTTTAAAATTTAAAAATCAAAATAAAATTTGATCCAAATTTAAGGACTACATATGCTATTTACTCTACTTATTATAATAGTTAGGTCAAATTATACAACAAATATATGTACTTTAATTAAATTGTGGAATTAGTTCATTTATTTTAATATGTTCAAATTAGATCCTTATATTTCATTTAATTGTTCAAAATTTTTGTTAAAATTGATGACGTGGCATTTTTGCTTATATGGCCATTGATTTTGTAGACATGTAAAGTTCATGTGATAAAAAATGATAACATGGCAAAATTTTTTAACACGATATTATTTTTTCACATCAACTTTTTTTAAATTATATGGCTCGTCCTTATACTTTTGTTAAATGGTGGAATTAATCATTCTATCTTAATGTGTGTTAAAAATTGATATCTATGTATTAATTAATTATCAACTTTAAGATTTGACCTAAAATAACATATAAAAACATAAATTATTAATTTGAGCAATGACAATTTTTTTCATATTTAGATAAAAAATTTTTTGGATATTTGAATTATTAATTGGTATTAATTTGATAAATTATGTTAATTTCAACTTAGATTATAAGCCCAACATTAACTAAATTATATTTTTTCTTTATCTTTTTATTTATTATTTTGATTTTTCATTTTTGTTAAATTTTATTTTTAATAAATTTGAAATATAAAAATAAAAAAAAACTTGTAAAATGAAAAAAAACGTAAAAGTTAGATAAAAAAAACCATAATTAATTAACAAACTCAAATACTCAATCAACAATAAAAGCAATTGTAAACATTTTATATTTTTTGAAAATTTTTTTTCAATATTAAATGGGTTTCAAATTTCATCTCAACATTGGGTTCTAAAATTATTTTTGGATAAATTGAGTTTAATTATGAAATTGGATTTTAAGCCCAAAAGTATTTTATTTATTTATTTTTATTATTTAGTAAGTGAAAGTCAATAAGTCAAAGTAAAAAGAAAAAGAAATCAAAATTTGAAAAAAAAAAAAAGGAAAATATGAAAAAATTTTGGAAAGATTAATTTGGAAAAATTTTGAGAATTCATCAACAATAGACAAATTAATATAACAAAAATAAAAACAACCAATAAAAATAATTAGAAATAATTTTTTATTGAAAAAAATTTTTTAGAAGTTTCAAGTTTAAAATTTTTAAGGCATTACGCTCAGTTTTGCTTTAGATGATGATACAAAATGATGGTGTTGATGATTGATTTATGGGTATTAATAGTTTTTGGATTTTTTAGATAAATTTTTTCTATGATAGTTGAATTTTTTTAATCATAAATTTTTTTCTATGGTATTAATAGTGCATCTTTCATGTTGATCCATAGTTTGACTTTGTTTACGACTCAACTTATTTGTATTAAAAAAATTTTTTTGTCTTTTATTTTAATTTTATTTTACTTATTTTAGATCAAATATTAAATTCAATAATTAATTGATGTATAAAGATAAAATTTGAACACATATTAAGATAGAATGACTAATTTTACTATTTAACTAAAATACATGGATGAGTTGTACAATTTTAAAAAAAGTTGATGTAAAAAAATGATAACGTTTAAAAGATTTTTGCCATATCATCACTTTTTATCACGTAAACTTTACACATCAGCAAAATCAATAACCACATAAATAAAAAATGCCACGTGAGAAAAGTCAAAAAGCCATATTATTAATTTTAACGAAAAAAATTTGAATTATTAACAATTTGATTAAAATCTATAATTAAATAAAGTATAGAGATTCAATTTAAACATATTAAAACAAAAGAACTAATTTCACCGTTTAACTAAAATATAGATATCTATTACATAATTTGACCTAATAGGTACTATAAAATTTGTTCGAATCCAATATATTTACATTTAAATGAATAAATTTATTAACTAAGTCAAGCCATTGTGACAACAGTAACATGATTGAATATTTATTAAAAAAATATTAAAAGTTTAATTTCAATTATTAAAATTTACTTTAGAAAACTTTAAAAAGGATGTTTAACACTATATTAATACGTATTGTGACGATAATAAGAATTTAGACAATGTGTCAATATGTCTCTGCTATTATTTATTAAAATAATTGACAATATATCTAAGAAATTGATTAATGGATTAATCATGAACATTTGAATGCATATAGTAGTGCAAAGGTTTATTTTCATTCCTTTGGACCTCTTTAATGATAAATAATAAATAATAGTATTAAGTAATTTAATTTACATTTGAGAGTCTATTTTTTTCTTCATACTAAGGGAACCATGATGTATTTTGAGAAACTTATCACTAAATTAACAGTTATCCTTAAAGGCAACCACCCATTTATATCAACGATGTACAAGACAATGAACTTATAAAAGTGTTTTCTACTTCAACTCAATATCATTAATGATTAAAATTAAAACAAATGGGTTCTACTAAACAAACATTTTGACAATTTTGTTGTAAGCCCTTTTTGACTTCATCCCACAAAAGTCAACTTAAAAAAGAAACAAAAAAAAAAAGAAAAAAAATACAAATATCTTCCTTCTAAAAAATAATTAGTCCCTCTTCTTAAAAATGTTACATACTATTGATGTTATTAACAGGTAAGGAATAAGGATTCATTTGAGAGTAAAGTTAGAATAACGTGATTTTATAGTATAATAAAAATAATGTGATGAGAGATTTTTGTAGCGTTACAATTATATTTTAGAACTAAATCATTATCAATTTAATTATAAAATAATATCATTATACAATGGGAATCTTTCTTATTAAACTGTGAAATGATAAAGATCGATACTTGCATATAAAAAATTATAAATATTTTAAGAATTTATGGTTTTGAACTAAAGTGATATATGATGTCGTGTAAGATATTTCATATTTTGTATCTAAAATAGGATTAGATTATTTAAAAAAAATAAAGTTTGTCCTAAAAAAATAAAAAGGATAAAAGGAATTGGGCCAAGTCGGACCAAGGCAAAGCCTATAAAAACAGCCCATAATAACAACGT